CAATAAATCCCTCTTTCCCATCTGCAGAAGAAAACCAGCAGCCTCAGTTGGCCCATTTGTGGAAAAAAAAGTAGGTGTGACATGGGCAAAGTGACCAAAAAAACCCAAGCCAGAGATCTGTCCCATGCTAAGGGCATCTGAAAGGAGCCTTCTGGCCCGTTCAGGCGTGAGAGCCGAAATCCGTGCCGTGCACCACAAGAACTTTGACCCTGCTGCTCAAAAGCCTCTCCTTTCCTTGGCCAGTTGCATTTTTAAGAAATGTCTTTTGGGAAGTGGCTGTGGAGTAGAGATTTCAAAGGCTGGCTGAAAAAAATTCTAGGCATATAAGCGCTGCCCAGATTCTCCCCGCACACGCACGTAAAACTTCTCCAGCATCATAATTAGAACAGTACTAAACAAACCCATTGCCCTCAGAAATCTCACACTGCAACTTTCATAAACAAAGATCTCCCAACGCTGGCAGTGACTTGGGGTGAGAGCTGACTTTTTCCCCTTTTCAAATTTTCCCAAGGCTTTAAAATTTCAGTTCCAGTCCTAAAATCGGAACTTTTTCAAAATTCAGAACACCACATGGTGTTTATCTGATGGCCTGGCGCCACGTTCTCCTAAAGTCTTCAGCAAAATCACATTTTAATTCTCATCTTAGTTAGGTGGACCTAAGTCTCCATGGAAACAAGATGAGGACACTTGCCATGTGCCTAAAGATAAGGAGAACATTTATGAAATAAAGTCTTCTCATCACAAGAAACAGATACTTGTGCTAATCCTGAGGGGCAAACAGAATAGTTGGCCAAGCTTCACAAATAATATGGAAAAAATCCAGGGACTTGGGGTTCTGGAATCAGCAGTATTGAACTTCCCATCCTGGCATCGCACCGATTAACACATTCCCATCAAAACAGCTGATCTTCCACACAACGCTTTGGGACTGCACTCAAGCACAGGATACCCGGCACCAACCACATCATCTCCACAGACAAGGTCTTGCAAACCCAGGTTCAGTGTCCTAGGATAAGCCCCAAATCAGGTTTTTCCCTTTAAAAAAAGCTCCTAAAGAAGCTTGGCAATTCAAATCTGCCTTGGAGACATTTAAAATTACTGGACCACCTCTTGTGAAATGAAACCTAATTAAATATTTGGCTTCACAGTGGAGGTGGAGAGTAACTACCTCTTTCCAAGAATTTAGTTTCAGATCTCTAAATGTCCTCTTATTTTCAAATCCAACCATTTCAGAAGTGACATTATGTTCCTGAAATGTGTTTGGCATGAACTAAACAGATATGGGCATTAATAAATCTTCAGAGAGGCAAGAGAACCTCACTTTGCCAAACCATTGCCTGTACTACCTCGCAGCTAACAACGCTTTGTGGTTGCACAGACTTTTGACCCAAAACGCAAACAGAGCCCAAGGGAAAAAGTTCAAATTTGCTATTTATCATTCCTCATTTTTCCTTCCAATTGTTAATTCAGGTTTTGGGTTACTTTTCAAATTCTGTCAGTCAATCCAAAGGAGAGAGTGCATTCTCCTTCGAGCTTATCTCTACCCACAACCCAATTTAGTACCAGCTGCACTAAATTAATAACTCTTAGCATTAGAAACAGTTCATCTTTGTCCTCCACAGGTAGATTAATGAATGACAAGATTTTTGTGTTACATCAAATACATTTGACTGTATTAAAAACCCAAGTCCTTTGGACACAAGGTAAATGTCTTCTAAAAATATTTATATAATTATATAAATGCTAATATGGTAGCCTTTGGCTCATCACTAGCTCCCTAAACTCTGACCCTCTGACAGAAACAGGAAGATCTTATTAAAGGTCCAGGCAAATATTTGAAGAAAAAACATTTTGGTATTCAGAGATATAAAATTCTTCACTGCAGCTAAGATGAAAGTCTTATTTAAGAGCTTCTGCACATTGCTTTGAAAAAATGAATAGGGAAAAGTATGAAACATAGGGAGAGCGTGACTTCAGGCTTAAAAATAGAATACGGGGACGAAAAAGTTAAGAAGTGCTCCTAACCTTATAGATGTTTTGTTGTTATTGTTACTCACCATCTATGTTTTTCAACAGTGTTAAAAGCTTCTTTTGACAGTCCTTCAGTGAAGTAATTTGTGAAAAGTGCTTTAAAGGGTAATTTATTAGGAAAAACTATACTAGACTTTTGGAAGTGGAAGAATTATTGGACCCTTGACTATTAGCAGAAACGCTAACCCCGCTCCAGGTTGGGCACCTGGAAAACAGCAATATTTTAGAAGGCTTTAAAGAAATATGTAAAGAAGGAAAACTTTGACGTGGCACAATACCCCTGTCCTTCTGCCTTCCCCCTCCAGTTCAGCGATTTCGAAGAAGCAGGAGTGGCACACGCGCTGCCTGTGTAAACCCAGCAGTGATGATTCTGGAAGCAGCCATTAGTTTTCAAAGAGAGACTTCACCACTCCAGAAGACCAGACAAAGACATGTTTGTTTCCTGAATTCGGGCAAACGGAGGCTTCCACTTACTTTCGCTGAAGTGAAGTTCAGAGGCAGAAGCCCACAGCTGACAGGTCCTGGGCTCCTTTCAGCTCTGCTCCTCTACCCAAGTATCCAGGGCCATAGCACTGAGGTTAGTGGACAATACCCTAAACTCTACCCCAAGTGCTTGATGACCACTAACAACCCAAGGTTTATTCACAGGTTTATAGACACGAGCATGGAATGGAAAGTACAGAACTACAGGAGATTTTTCCCTGACCAGCCCTAATTCTTGCCTCCTTCCATCAGAGTTTGAGACACAGAAGAGTTTCCCACCTGCCCCAGCAACATTCAGCATCATTAAGGATATAAGCATTAGATAGAAACCACGGAAATCGTATGTAAAAGTAGGTGGATTGCCAAGTAGTTTGGAATGGGCAGAAACCATGGCAACAGCTTACAGTTTACTCTCTGTACACCGCAGAAGAGACAACTCTTTTCCCACGCTCATTACTCACGTTACTATTTTTAAGCACTAGTGGCACGGCATGTTTTACATGCAGCACGTTCTACTGCTCCGGCTCCACCTCAAAGCCTGACACGAGATAACCCCTTACTCTGCATATTCTACATTTATCACATCATCCACCTGAGCATTATATAATGAAAAATAAAAATTTATGAGTTGAAACTCTGAAAGCAAGCTAGGGTTCAAAAGAGTATTATAAAAACGGTGTTTCTCGACTTCTAAACACTGATGTGTTTTTCTATCCGTATTGAATACATGAGCCCCTTACTTCTCAGGCAGTGCAGTGCAAATTTTTCTCCTAATGTGAGAGTTTAATATATTTACTGTTATCTTAATGATCATTACTATGATATCTTTTTAGTGGCATACCTGTTCCCCCACTCCCAGATATTCAGAGATGGAATATTTTTACATTTAATACATTAGCAACAAGCAAAGCCTGAGGGTTTTGGTTTTTCCTGCTCGTTTCACCCTAGCAAAACCTGTCCAGCTCGGGAGCTGCTTTTCTAGGCACTGTACGAGCACATCTAGAGCAACTGAAGAACGGCAGTATTAAAAAGCAGATTGTGACAATTCAAAGGCTGGATGGCCTCAGGACATCTCTGAGGAACACTCCCATCTCTAATAAGAATTTCTATACAGATGTTCCACGTACATCTAAACAAACGAGTTTCAGAAAAAATAACTTTAAAAATCTGAGTTATAATAACACTGAACTCCTTCAGTGTTCTACGTCATCTCAAAGGTCATCTTGTCACACCAGTTTCACCCATTTTCGTGACTGAAAAGTGCCAGCATTTTGCAGAAAGCAAGAAAAAAAAAAACACATTAAGAGTTCTCCTTAATTCTATGGGTTTCTTATCATTGCAATATCACTCTGTCATTCCTTACAGAGAGCAAACATCTCCCTTCAAAGAATAAAATGCATATCATTCAGCTCACAAGTAAATATCAAGTTTGATCTTATTTTGCCTAGGCTACATTTCATGCTTAGTTCTTTATCTTTAAATGTTTATGAATTGTGTAGCAAGGGTTAGGGAAAATATTTGAAAATTGGATTATGTTTTCCAGCAGATACATTTTACAGATAGGTTCAGAGTTCTGAATAATTTTGTTTTCTGAGTGCCAAGCAACACAAACTCACATTTGCCATGGCAGAATGATTCCATTAGTTCACATCTGTCTTAAACAGCAAAACATGTGTTTCCCCACTAATGAATTTCAGACCAATAATTTCACATCCATCACGTGGCTGAAGTAAATCCATTACAGCCTGTGGGATAACTTAAAGGTTTTGTGGTGGGTACACAGCAAACTGAGCAAGACAGATTTTCTGCTGGTAGGCAGAACACCGAGATGATCCTGATCTATCAGAAACATTTTAAAATAAGTGAGCAAGCCCAACTTTGTAACTCTTAAACAAGATAAGAAAAATTTTATATCAAATAAAAAAAATAGTCATTTCTACAGCCTTTTTACCACCAATACCCCTACTGTGTTTATCACTGAAGGACTGACTGTTCTCACCAAACCACTCAAGGAGGAAAAAGAATACCATACCCTGAAGAAAGTTGTATTTGCAACAGTGACTGCTTTAGAAGTCGTAAATTACTAAAGAAGTAACATTTTAAATGATTGGTGTTCAAGGTGTTGACCCTCAGACCACTTTAAGCGAGTGGCACGAAAATATTAGAACATTCAGAATACGTGGAATTGCCTTGGAGTAGTAAGTTTCCTAAACCAGCTATTTTATTGAAATCCATAGTCCCAGAAGAGTTCCAAAAATCTTTAAATGCAAAAAAGATGGTGTTAATCCTTAAACCAACACATTAATGCTTGTACTGCAGCAGTAAGGTGCTGAGGGTGTTTTTCACACTGTCTGGAGAGCCAGAGCTCACCACGTAGTGGTGATACAGACACACGATACGCTTTATTGCTCCAACATGCACCATCTTTGAAACACTAATAATATACAACATGATTTCTCCTGCAGATGACATATCAGAAAACATACCTCTATATCCTGTATTATCTTTGGGTATAAGGACCTGTAAAATGAATTTGGGGGGCCATCTGTTGGTCTGTTTTTAAACAGGTACTGATCCCTAGAAAGAACCAGAAACATAATTTTTCAATTTATCACAAAGAATCCAAGCTTTAAAGGAATTTGAAATCTGCACAGAACAAAACCTTATGACAATCTCACAGAATACTTGTAAGAATTTTTAGTATCACAACCCTTGTTACTTTAGAATTTGGCACCTACATTTCAAATGTCCAAGACTAAAAAGATAACAGGTGTTTTCCTTATGGGTTTCCAAATCCGAGTTCACTGCTCCATAAGGCGTTTTAGCCAGAAGGGTGTCATCCTCTTCCTCTTTACGGCATGCCTTGCATTTTCTTAGGCACACCACTAGAGAGCACAGAAAAGCAGGTTTCTACAGGAGAACACCCATCTCTTCAGCTACTCCTAGAGGACAGAAAAACTCCCTTGCGACAAACATAAATGGTTTCTCTTTGAGAAAGGCTTCTGCAGCCCAATCAGTTATTTTTTATGGAAAAAAAAGTTTAATTTAAATACTTCAACTCAAGAAAAAGCCCTGAAAAAACACACTGTTGCTAGTTTTTGTGAGCTGATTCTACATGTTAGTTCTCCCTGCGAAACAGAAATTACAAATTTGCAGACTTACCGCAAGAAAGCAAGTTTGGAAGACACTGGTGCACAAAAGGATGGGGACAAAGCCAAAGTAGAAACAGGAGCTTTGCCCACTACGCCATGGCAGAGATAAGGATCTCAGCGATACCAGTTTACTATAAACTTACTTTTTGGTAGAGCTCATGATTAGGGAGATTGGTGACAGAGAACACTGTAAAAGGTGAATTTAGTTATCGTCAAGGTACTTACCAACCCCTTCTTTCTGACAGTCCCTTCCATAGCGGATCTGTGCGTACCATTCTTTCAATCAATTTTTTCCATAGCATTCCCTCAGAGATGACTCTCTGCCACTCCTTACATACCAGCTCTGCTGCACAGAGTGATCTGGCATCAAGATAGGAAAGGATGTTTTCTGCTATGTGATCTAAGCCTTGCTCTACAAAGAAATAAAGGCAATCAAAACGTCAATCACTTCACAGTAAACTACTAAACAAGTTTTGCAATACATTCAGAGAAAGCCAACACAGCTCTAAGGCACCAGAGCAACATGACAATTAAATTACCATACGTAAAAGCACCAGTTACAAATTAATCCAAAGAGGTACGCCAAAATTTCTCCAACTCTTTACTTCTTTCCTAGTACAGTCTGCCTACAGGATGGTCCCACTTCCGCAGAGTAAGAACGAGCACAACTCAAAATTCAGCATAGTATGCAAGCAGCAGAAAGCATTTTGCTTCCGGGCACAGAATCCTGGACTTTTTGAGCACATAATGTGCTGGGCTACACGATCCAAAAAGATGATGATCTTCAAGCACATGCTTTACTAAGCAGCAGTATTAAAAAATTAAAATACTCATTCTTTTACTCTTCCCTTACGTATAACAAAAGCTAATTCAACTCAGCAGAAGACAGGACTCCACAGGAACAAATGCAGACATATCCAGTAGAAGCACAAGAAAACATTCTAGAAAAGCTTCCTTGCATCAAATGCAAGGACATATTTTCTATTTAAGCTCCTTCTATAATCTGCAGGTCCCAAGTCCACTCCTGAATTTTTTTTCAGGACTTTGGTGACAGAGCAGATGCCAGAGACACCATGCCCTACAGCCTGGTGTAGGATGGGGAAATCAATGAGAACGAGTTGAACAGTAATTTGTTAATTACAAACGTCGCTTTAACATCCAAAGCAGTTATCCCGATTCATGGTTTGCCATCACTAGGCTCCATACTTAGAGAAATCACTACTGAATGACTTTTACCAGAAGCTGGGGGTTTTGAGGCTTTTGTTCAGCTAGAGAAGAATTAAAGAGGGACACGTTTTTTGAAACAGCTTCAAGTTGAGTAAATGTAACATTCAATACAGCATTTACTTTTGAGGCCAATGGATGCAATTGTTTCCAGCATGAGAATCAGCTAAGAAATCTTAGGATCAGCAGGAGTCAAGTAATTCTCAAATAACGAGAGGTGAGAGCTCAGCTCCTGTAAATTCCAGTGTGAAGTAACTAGTTTAGTTGCGCAGAGGTTTCCCAGTGTATTTACAACAGCCATATGAACAGATATTACCCTAGCATCATTCCTGCATTTGCTGCTCTCCCACCCTTAGGGCACGCGACCTTCTCCAGTGCCGGACCCATGTGTGAGTTTGCCTACTGCTGATGCGACGACGCCAGCTTTACTGGGTCAAAGGAGGAGTCCACCAGTGCACCACAAGAAAACTCCCAAGTAAAACAACAATACTCCAAACAATGCCTTCGGCAGTAAACAAGCATCCCAGAAACATCTACCTGGTGACTCTCATGCTCTAATTGCATCTGCAGCATAAGGTACGTTGGTCAACAAACAACAGTTATTAGCGCGCTGGGGAAACATTTGACTTCCACCACGAAGATCCTCACTACCAGAAGTGGCTTATTAACCCCTGTGATCCTTTTATGTCATGGTAGGGTTAGATTTACATCTTCAGTGCACTCAACTTCCCAGCAGAAGTTCAGATATACCAGAAATGGGGTCCTTGCCCATTAACCAAGGTCTGTGTAAAGCAATGTGCTGCGAAATATTATTTAATATTAAAATTAAAACCTATCCAAAAGCACCAGGTACTTATCCTGAAGCTGGCAGAAAGAATAAGACATCAATAAAGACAATTCATTCAGTAAGCTGCCACCACAGATCTATCAAGACATAAACCAGGTGGAACACTGCATGCATTTCCTTCTGTCTTTGCCTACATCTTCTCTCTGCTAAGGGTGTTCAGCTTAAAAATGTGATTGTAGTTGAGTAAAAATACATACATAGAAACCACTTAGATACTATACTTGTCCTCAATTTAACACAGCAATCAAACTTTTCTTGTCCATATTCCAACTACAGTGTCATTGGTCCCACAAAAAAAATCACTGGCAAGTCTGTTACTTATTTCAAAGGACCCGCAATTTTGCTTTCCCAAAAACTGCACTAAATCAGAGATCTAGAGTAACTTCATTTTCGTGAATAACCTATGCCAGTTGGCCAAGCATGAAAAAAATCTTTCAAACTAGGAGATGACGACCTTTTCAATTTTCCACTTTATCTCATGACAGCCTACTTTAGGCTTCACATAGTCCTGAAAAAAAAAAATCAAAGAAACTACTGTTAATTTTTTAAAGAATTAAGAAATTGTGTTCATACGGCCCTCCACTGCACACTGAATTTGGCACGGCCTTCATAAGAACAAACCACGAAAGAAACCGACACACGAAGCTGACGAGCATTTGTTCGTTTCTTCTGCTAAATTTAGAGAACTATAAAAAGGCTTTAAAGAATGGTGAAAGCTCCTACACAACGTAAACCGAGTTTATACAGATTTTTCAATACCAGTCATAATAACAGATTCAAATAACTGAAACGTAACGAAGTCCAAATAACTGGTGGATCTCAAATCTAACCACTTGCAAACCAGCAAATCCCCTCCTAACACCACCGTGTCTCGCAGCAGCTTTAAGCTGCACCACCTCCTACATCAGCAGTTTCACAAAAATACTAGGGCGTTTAAATACATTGTAAAAGTGGTCTTCCTCTCTGCCACATCCCAATCTTGCTAGTAAATAACGACTTTGAGATTCTAAATACTGTTTTTACTCAGGATATATTTATCTTACTGTGATGGTATGCGATTTGAAACAGTTCTCAAGGTTCTTCTGGAAAATATAATCACTGCAAGGTCACTGTCGAGAGTTAGTTTAAAATCATGAATCCTTGGCTATCAGGAAGACACTAAGTCATTGTGCAAAGTGGAGGACACAGCTAGATAAACCCAAAGAAAACGAACAGGCCTGCTGAGTTAGTGTGTCTGAGTTTGAAGGTTGCAGGTGTGATGAACAGGGCACACATTGTGTTCCAGCACAAACAGACCTGACGGGTATTTCAGACTTCGGTACAAAACAGGGGTATTCAACAACGTAACACTAACCTACACGGAGCAAGTGAATGTCTAGTGCATCTCTAACGCTGCAATCACACACCACAGTCCTTTACATGTTTTCCCAGCTCAAAGTACATTATGTAGAAAATTCTTCCTCTTCAAAACATAATCGATTACAGTTCCCAAAGCAAACAGCGCAGAGGATACGGCAATGCACCACCGTAACTGCAAGCTCCATATCAGCAGAGCAGTATGCTCAGGTTCCGGTCTAGAAGGTGGTTAAAGCTCCCATTTCACTGCACCATTTTTCTTTCAATAGCCATGATACAACATCTGAGCTCACATCACCCTCCTCTCCCTCTCCAGAGCACTACGTTAGCGTGTTCACTATCCTCCCAGCACGCGTACCATAGTTCAGGGCTAAAGCTCTATTAATACTGACCTCTCAGAGGGATTTTTAGCCAAATCAATGGGTAATAAAAGGGACTACAGTGCTAAGACATTACAGAAATAATAATTCAACTCAACCACTATTAGGCTACTATGTTTCAAGCTTACTAATTAAATCTAAAACTGAATGACTGAAAAGTTTGGAAGAAGTTAGAAGAAACTAACACTGAAGTAGGTTACAGTTAAACCAGCAGACCCAGAAATTATTAAAAAGAGCTGCAGACACTCTGATGCCAACGGTATTTCTGCAAAATGTGGCAGAACGACAAGAGCACCAGTTTTTGGGCTTCCAGCTCTCTCCCAGAGATACAAAGATGCCGTCCTGTCCCTTCCGTGTGAAAGTCACTTGTAATCAGCGGTGGGGTGGCAGAAGAGCAGAGGCACACAAACTAACCTTGTCAGACAACCTTAATTCCTCTTTGTCAGAAGAAAAACACGCTCCAGCTATGCCTGGGTTCCAAAACAGCTGGTAGCACAAGATACGCTGATGACAGGCAAACCTTTCAGTGTCTGCACTTTTCAGGTGCAAAATTCTTTACTCATGTACCTGAAAGATGGCAGGTGAATGAGCAAACGAATGATGCACAGTTCATCAAATAAACTGGCTGTTTGGCCACAGGAACAGCTGTCCTTAGCAGGCACCTTTTGGTCAAAACACCACAATTTAGTAGTGGTCAAGACAGGACGGCAGGATCTATGCTGAAGATACTCATCTACTGCATGCTTTTCTCATTCCAAAGTCAAAAAGTATAATTTTGCCTAATTGGCATAACTTAGTAAAACAACCCTTCCTCATGTATACTAACATTCTTAGAAGGGGAAACTTGGTACTAGTTGACTAAGATCACTCAAACAAACCATAACTCTGCACTTATTCCAACCATAAACTTAGAGAAAGGCTATGGGATAAAGTAGCCATGCTGGCACTTGAATACATTACTAAACTTGCTTGCAGCTTTGAGCAATTTTGGAAGTGTAAAGATCATGAACACGTCAGACGTAAAATGAATTCCCAAGGGAATAAGCGACAAACAAATAGAAGGTGTTCAAACAATGGTCAAGCACAAAATAATTCTTTACAAGTTTATCTGTTACTGCCATCTCCTGGCAACAAGCTAAATAATTATCCTCCCCCCAAAAAAAGAGATTGGAACACTGAGGAGCTGTAAAGTTACAAATAACCAATAAAACTAATAATTAATAAAAAGGCTACGCTACAAAGCATCCTTGGAACAACAAATGCAGGGTTCTGTGGTTTTTTTGGTGGTGATGGTTTTGGTATTTTACCCCTAACTCTAACATATTTGTATCATCTTTCGGAAGACACTGACCAGGCCAGCTTGAAAGTGGAACTTCAGATGCCTTTCAGAGCTCGGACTACTGCATCACTTGCTTTTTGGCAGCAGGCAAGTGGTTTTGAATCAAGTACCAACACTTCAGGAGTTTGATAAGCAGCATACAGCAGATTCCATTAATAGAAATCCATATGTTGTATTTTAAATCCTTTGTGCAAGTAAGAACGTACACGTCAGTTAAGTAGTTTCAGAAGAATTTGATTTAGATTACTACTCCGAGAGTATTAAAA